TCTCAAACTTGGTGGTGGCTACACACAGGGCATTTGTAGTCTTAAGAAAAAGTTTGAGACCAATCCGGCACTGAAAAGAAAATGGACTTCAGAGTCCCAGAGAACCTAGGTGTATAGATAGGGTTCGATGAAAGGTTCTATATACCTCTGTGAAGCACGTCGACTCCGCCTATGTTGAAATGACTTGAAATTTTTTTGGCAGACATTTACACCCAAAATATGACCCCACACAAGATCTTAGATTTTTCTGATAATTATTTTTATTATTACATTTCCCTTTGTGCCGCGTGAGACGAAATACGGTGAATTACATATTGAAAATAATATAATTTTGCATCAACCTCCACAAATATTTGTCTCCTAGGGCACAATAGACCATTTGGCATTGTTTGGCACCATTCCGGATCATTTAGGGGGTGGACCCAGTTCAATGTATAATTAATCGGTGAATTCATGCGAAAATTCAATTAAAGTGAAAAAAAGTACCAAACCACCTCAGAAAAATCTCAAACTTGGTGGTGGCTACACATAAGGCATTTGAAGTCTTGAGAAAAAGTTTCAGTCCAATCCGGCACTAGAAAGCACATGGACCTCAGAATCTCAGAGAACCTAGGTGTATAGATAGGGTTCGACGAAAGGTTCTATATACCTCTGTGAAGCACGTCGACTCCGCTTATGTTGAAATGGCTTGAAAATTTTTTCGAAGTCATTTACACCCAAAATATGGCCCCACACAAGATCTTAGGTTTTTCTGATAATTATTTTTATTATTATATTTTTCTTTGTGCCGCGTGAGACGAAATACGGTGAATTACATATTGAAAACAATATAATTTTGCATCAACCTCCACAAATATTTGTCTCATAGGGCACAATAGACCATTTGGCAAAGTTTGGCACCATTCCAGATCATTTAGGGGGTGGACCCAGTTCAATGTATAATTAATCGGTGAATTCGCGCGAAAATTCAATTAAAGTGAAAAAAAGTACCAAACCACCTCAGAAAAATCTCAAACTTTGTGGTGGCTACACATAAGGCATTTGGAGTCTTGAGAAAAAGTTTCAGCCCAATCCGGCACTAGAAAGCACATGGACCTCAGAATCCCAGAGAACCTAGGTGTATAGATAGGGTTCGACGAAAGGTTCTATATACCTCTATGAAGCACGTCGACTCCGCCTATGTCGAAATGGCTTAAAAAAATTTTGGCAGTCATTTACACCCAAAATATGGCCCTACACAAGATCTTAGGTTTTTCTGATAATTATTTTTATTATTACATTTTTCTTTGTGCCGCGTGATACGAAATACGGTGAATTACATATTGAAAACAATATAATTTTGCATCAACCTCTACAAATATTTGTCTCCTAAGACACAAGAGACCATTTGGCAAAGTTTGGCACCATTCCGAATCTTTTCGGGGTGGACTCGGTTCAACGTATAATTAATCGGTGAAGTCGCGTGAAAATTCAATTAAAGTGAAAAAATTACCAAACCAATTCAGAAAAATCTCGAACTTGGTGGTGGCTTCACGATGGGTATTTGAAACCCTGATAAAAATTATGAGATCAATCAGGCACTAGAAAGCACATGGACCAGAAAATTCAAAGTATAGTTAACAAAAGAATATAATCAATTAAAGGGTCTTTTCTCTTATTAAATAAATCTTTGGGTGCTTTCTTGTCGAGAAAGTGACTTAGTTCAGATGGCTACCTAGTGCGCTGCGGTTTGGACCTTGGCTATGAGGTCGTGGGTTCAATGTCTGGCTGCTCCATTTTTTTGTCCAGCGTGACTATATTATTTTATTAAGAAAGATTATCCCGGTTATAGCCCAGAGATCCTTTAGTCCCGGCTGGAGCCTCAAGCCGGGAGTAAAGATTTATTTCCGTTTGAGGGTCAGCCGGGACTAAAGGATAACCTTTAGTCCCGGCTCTGGGCTATAACCGGGACTAATTGTTGTCTGTCGTCGCTACACACTTGGGGCATTAACTTTGTATCCTTGTTTGAGGATACAACCGGGACTAATAGTTCCTTTAGTCCCGAAGACAAAAATATCGGGACTAAAGACAAAAATAGAGGTAGGATGAAAGGTCTGTTTTCTTTCTAGTAACATTGAAACTATGAGGAGTCTGCAAAGAATAGTAGTTAGAGATCCCTGAACAGGGTAATGCGCTTCTTGATTCATTTCTGTCTGAAGATTTTCCAGATTCATTTCTGTCTGAAGATTTTCCAGATTCATTTCTGTCTGAAGATTTTCCAGTTCCTACTCTATGTTCAGTTTTCTACGGACTACATTGGAACAGATTTCCTGGTGATGTTTTATATCTGACGTGCTTTCATGAAAAATTTGTTTGCAGGCTGGTTGGTCAAACTTAGGGACGTGCGGTTTGTCTGTGACCTTTTTGGGAAATACCATGGTGACTGGAGCAAAGCTTGAAGACAAGTTTTTAGTTGGTAACAGGTTAGCAATATCAGCCAACACTGGTGCTGTGTCCATGAGAGGTGATGGTGCATATGGAGTGAATATGGAGACAACTATTGGTGAAAAACTGCACACTTAATGTTGTTGTATTCAGAACTCCCAAGACCCAAGCATTCAGAGGTTGACTAGCACGCGTCAATGGAAGTTGAACCATCACTTTCTGTCAAGAATCAAGATAAGTGTAGCTTTGCTGCCGTTTGCTTTTTTTTCCATCCAGAAAGCAAGCTTTCAGCTTTCTTGCAGGATGGTTCGTTGCTTCAATTTTGCAAGTGATCAAAATCAGTAGTCTTTCATGGATAGGTTGCTGGATTCATGGTTCCCAAAATCTCGGGAGCGCACACCAGATCATAAGGAAGGAAATGAACGGCCTTTCCTCACAACCGAGTATCCATCTGTCAGGGCCAAAACAAATAGAAGAACAGGTATCCATTGTATTTGTCTAAACAACGCATTATTATAATTTTACTATATCAGTCTAGGTGATTACTGATCCCTGGAATTCCTGTATTCATCTCTACATCTACAAGATATTGAAAAGAGTATTGTTCTCAGCACAAAAGCTGGGATTAGTGTGCTTCAAGCTCTTGGTGCTGCTGTCAGTCTTGACATCAACATAGGCATACACCCAATCTGGGCAGGAGAGGATCTGCACATGTTGGTGGCCAAGAATTTTTCTGGTGTTGCAAAATCTTTAGAAGGTATGATCATCTAAGAAGTGCATATCTTAGCTCCATAATTTGTTCTCATATGCATCAAATCCAATTATATTCTCCATTATAGGATGTGTTGATGGATATCTGAGCTGCATGATGTCTTGTTATATTCTCCATAATTTTCTATTCTTTCTAAATTGAAGCACTATTCCTGAGCATTATCTGTTGTATGTGACTTCTTATTTCTGAGCATTGTCTATTGCCTATGATGTCTTGTTATTTCTGAGCGCCACCCATTACCAAGGTTACAAGACAAATGATGGCCATTTGCAGCTTTTCCAGTATGTATATGTACAATGTAGTTTTACTTCACTGAAGATCATATCATTGCTATATGTCTCAAATGCTGTTCATTAGTTAGTGATCTGGAGTGAAGGTTCTGTAAAAAAAAATTTGCAAGGTAATTTTTATTAATTATGTACATTGCTGGAATTGTTTAAAGTCACTTGGTTTTATATATTTCTAGGCTGTATCGTTAGCACGAGCAATATACTATTTTTTACAGAATGTTGGACCTATTTTGTACTTTTACTAAAAGTGGAGGCTGGTCTGCTGGTGAGCAACTTGAGGTAGTCTTCACTGCAAGGTTGTCATCATCAAGTTTCATCAACAGTGAAAGGCGCTCAGTGACATTTTCACTATCTGATTCGGAATCAGAGGAAGCGTAGAGTTGTTCATATGATTATAATGCGTATATATAAATTTCAAGTTTCATCAACAGTACTAAGCCTGACTTTTTTATTAATGTGTATATATATAAAATTTAAGTTTTCATGTGCGTACTGCTCACGTCCTCGGTATAGGTATATAAGCTGAGGGCTGAGGCAACTGCCGGTCTGCTGGCACGCGCAAACACGCACGGGTTGCTGCCTAAATCTGGAGGGCGGGCCTGATGCCTTTCTCGCCGCCGAGGATGGCGGAAGTCGCGCCCGGCGATCCTGGAGCACCGGCCGGGCCGCACGCACGAGCGGACGGCGGGACGCCCCCACCCCTCCCTCGCCCCATCCCCTCCCATCACGACTACCCACCCAACCCCCGCTGTCACCGCGCCACCGAGGGCAAAACCGCGTCGCGAATAACCGTGGGGGCGTGCGCGCGTGCGTGCCTCTCTCCGTCCCTCCCTCCCCGCCCGCCCCACCGCCCCACCTCACCCCCCCAACCCGGCGCGCGTCGCGTCTGTCCTGGTCGGAGGCGGAGGAGCGGAGGACGACCACCGGCGCGGACGCAGGCGTCCCGCATTCCCCGATCCGGCCCCGCCTGACCCCCGTTGCCACGGCAGCTCGATCCGACCGACCAACTCGCCGGCCGGCAGGCGCCACGTAGAAATGTAATGCTCGCATTGTATGCCACGCTTCACCCGCCGTTGTGTCGATTCTGGTGTGTGTGCTGATGATGGGGATCCTTGGATGGTTTGCGGGTGATCGATCGTGTCCTCAGTTTTGGTCTCTTTGCGTCGACGCCGATTGATCGTCGAATGCTGTTATCAGTTTTGCAAGTTTCTGGATGGTTTCAGTTTTGGTTTCATTTGTGTGCGGTTGCCTTCAGTTTAAATCACACTGTCTGTCTGCTTTTATTTGATCATCGTTTGCTGGTTCAGTTTTCACAGATTCACCCGAAATCCTTTTGAAGTCTTTTCCCCTTTGATCAACCCACTATTGTTTTCATTGTTGGAATCTGGATCACGAGGTGTTTCTCACCGATGCCATTTGCACTGACAGACACGTTGTTCGATTGTTAACGTAGATAGAAGTTTAGGATGGTATCACTCTGCTATTTCTGCCCCGGGCTCACTACGCGGTCCCGGATGCCCGTGAAGCGGTACAAGAAGATCCTTGCTGAAATATTCCCCAAAACACAGGTCGGGACATGCTGCATCCGTTTTCCTTTTGTCAAATGTGAGCATATTGACGCTTGAACTGTGTCTCGGATTAATTTATTTAATGAGCATGTTTGTTTCTGTTGCAGGATGAAGAGCCTAACGAGAGAAGGATTGGGAAGTTGTGCGAGTACGCTTCGAAAAACCCTCTTCGAGTGCCAAAGGTTCACCCCCTTACTTCCTAATTTGAATTTTGTTGTTTCCATGCCAGGTGTAGAGGTTCTGACCTTTTGAGCGAATTGCTCTTGCTGCTAGAAACAGTTTGCTAGCTCTATAGCTACTGTAGTAGTACAGATTATCAGCCTGTTCGCTTGGTCGTATTTGGCTTATAAGCCATGGCTGATAAGCCAACGAACAATATTTTTTCTCTCACATCAAACCAACCAACAGTACTTTCAGCCATGACTTATAAGCCAAACCAGCCCAAACGAACAGGGCGTATAATTGCAATCGAGGATCGAGTAGTGTAGCTTATCTCAAAACTGGAGATGCCTCATGGGACATTGTTCTAGGCCTCTAACTTAATGTTTCAAGTATAGTTCCCTTGTCTCCTTGGTCAAATTCAGTCTCAGTAAGCTTGTCGTGTTATGCATGTTTATATCTGAGCAGATCACAGTTTACTTGGAGCAACATATTTACCGGGACTTAAGAAGTGAGCAGTACGGCTTTGCAAAAGTGGTGATGTTGATATATCGCAGACTGTCTGTTTCCTGTAGAGAACAGATGTGAGTCTTCTTTTCAAGTTTCTCTTGCTCATATGGCCCTGGATTCTGTGAAGTTAATATTTTTATTTGGTTTGCAATGGATACTTCTTACACTTTATTATTACTTTTGCTGGTTAAAAATGTAATTGTTATTTTCTTAATTCAGGCCTCTGTTTGCAAGTAGCCTATTAAGCATTGTACACACTCTTTTAGACCAAAAGAGGCAGGACGATTTGCGCATCGTTGGGTGTGAAACCTTGTTTGATTTTGCTGTCAATCAGGTATTCCTATTGGAGTAGATGCCATTGTCCGTTAGCAGGATTCAGTTTATATATAGGTATGTCCCATTATTGGTGATCTTGAGTCTGTCTATTCCAGGTGGATGGTACATATCAGTTCAATTTGGAAGGGCTGGTCCCAAGACTGTGTGAAATAGCCCAAGAAGTAGGAGAAGATGAGAGGGCAACTGCCCTACGAGCTGCAGCCCTGCAATCTCTTTCAGCTATGGTAGGTTCTGTGATTGCGCCATATCAAACTGATGTCATATGTTAGCATGGCTTTCTAAAAGTTCTGGATAAATTAATAGGAAGTTCAAAACTCAAAGTGTAAGAGAACTTTTATACTACTATTTCCAAGAGGAAGTTAAAACATTCTTCCAACACAACTCTAAGTCTCTAATTCACAGTTTACTTCATTTCTTATGATGCAAGCAATGAAAGCTCAAAGGCAATAAGTACTCATGAGTTGACTAACCTCATATGCATAACTTATGAACTAAGCCTAGCTCAGTTGTGTGAGAGTGTGGATGTATGCCTATATCACCCAAGTTCAAATCCTATTTGATGCAATTTTTGGCTCCTATTTCTGCTTTATTAACTAAGCATGACAACATGTAGTTCGGCGGAGGTGGGTTTTGTATTGTTGTAACTTCCCATACTCCCTCCAGTCACACATGCATGTAGTTTTGGACATTGGCCTGGTGATGGCATGTTTTGTTTTTGACTGGAGGGAGTAGCTATCTAGAACTTAAATCTAAAAAAGGGCGTACCCAGTGCAGAGAGCTCCCGCTCTGTGCGGGGTCTAGGGAAGGGTGTCAGTGGCAAGCCTTACTCCCGCCTATGCAATGCAAGGAGACCGCGACTCGAACCCAGGACCTTCCGGTCATCTTTTCAAAAAATATTTCAGTGTATGCAGAGGACGTCTTCTTAAAGATTACTGCTTTTCTTATTGTTCTATTATGCCATAACCACTGAGCATTAAAAATTTTCAAACAAAAATATCTTTGACAGTCATAATATCATGTAGTTTTCTTGTTGAGCAGGTATGGTTTATGGGGGAGCTTTCTCATATCTCGTCAGAGTTTGACAATGTAAGTACTATGAAAGCGAGCTTTTTTTTCTTGTGTTACTTCCCTGTTTAATATGTGCCTATCAATCTTGAGATTACATCCAAAGAAGAAACATTATTTGGCACTGCAAGGAAGGTTCTTTGCTTATCTTCATTTGGTTACTTTAAAACTATCACTTTTGCAAGCAGATTGCAGCTACAAATGTTTCATCAGCTCTGATTGTTTTCTATTGTATCTTTTAGGTTGTTCAAGTTGTACTGGAAAACTACAAACCTCAGAAGATGCAAAATGATGATCAAAGTACCAATGATGCTGACAACCAGTTGGTGCAGGAAGGCCAGAATGCTGAGCACCCCCCTTCCCCTTTCATTATCACTCAGGCTCCCTCTTGGGAGAACATAGTTAATGTCAAGGGAGGAGTCAACCTGCCAGTGTAATATAATCTTACTTTTACTCTTTGATTGACTTTGTCTTTTCTTCATATACAGTAAGCAAGTGGTTCCTTGGCATACTCCTGTGCTGCAGGGAAGATGCCAGGGATCCTAAGTTTTGGTCCAGAATCTGTTTGACAATTAGTGTCCAAGCTTAGGGACTAATTAGGTTCGAAACATTCCGCCGCATCTTGGAATGTTTGTTTCCCAACTATAACAATAGTTCATGGTTATCAGAAAATGGACTTGCTACTCCATGTCTTGTTGGACATGCAACTTTTAGTAGAAAGCTCAGGTGCTACTTTTGCATTTTAGGGTTTTGAGTCTAAGTATATTGTATACCTAGCAATGTGGTTGCTTATGTTGTTTAAACGATTTCTGTAGGACAAAATGCCAGGATCCTGTCACCAGAATCTGTGTAAAACATATTGAGCACAAGACAATGTTGGGAAGCAGCCAGACATGCATCTTAGAATGTTTGTTTCAGCTACTTGCAGAACAATCCAGTTCTATCGTTACCAGAAAATGGACTGCCATAAGTGATCTTGTTGGACATGCAACTTTTAAAAGGAAGCTCCACATTGCTACTTTTGCATTGTAGATGATGAGTCTAAGTATATTGTAAACGGGAACGAGAAATTCCGGTTTAAGGGATTTCATAGATGAAATGCCTAATGTTCAGCTGATCAAAGATATTGAGCACAAGACAATGCCATTTTCTCATCTGAAATTTTATGTTTACCATCGTGTCAGGTATAAGCTACCCTTAAGAAAATGTGATTTTTAACTGATCCCTCCTTGCAACTATGGTCTGTATAATATGATGATTAGTTTCATATGATCTATTCCACATTACTCTTAAACGCAGCAAAGATATGGAATTAAAAAATGGAACGAGAAATTCGGAAGGTGCATTTAATGAATGCCTAGTTTCAATTGTCCGTTTAGCCCGTTTAATGGACCATTTTCTCCATCTGAAATTTTATGTGACCTTCGTGTCACAATATTAATTGTTTACTTAGCCCGTTAATGTGATTTTTAGCTGATCCCTGCCTAAAGGTTGGTGACTGTATACCGTATGTTGATTAGTTTCATTGATCTACGCACAATGCATATAAGACTTATCAAGACTTTGTTGTGTTGATCAGGTGACTGATGCTGGGCCAGTTCTTGACATGATGGCAGTTATGCTAGAAAACATTGCGAGCACTCCTGTTGTAGCTAGATCAACTGCAGCTGCTGTTTATCGCACAGCTCAAATAATTGCTTCCGTGCCAAATTTGCAATATCAGAATAAGGTATGCTGTTAGAATAAATGAGTTGAAGTGTTAAAATTAATCCCAGACAACATTACTTTCTTCTGGTTTGAAACCTATCTTCTATACTTGATGCCAGGTGTTTCCTGAAGCTCTGTTTCATCAGTTGCTGTTAACAATGATCCACCCCGATCATGAAGCTCGTGTTGCTGCACACCGCATATTTGCTATTGTCTTAGTCCCATCTTCTGTTTCCCCTTCGATTCAAGCCAGTCCCTCTGGCCAGGCAAAGAAACATGACATGCAGAGGACACTCTCTAGGGCTGTCTCTGTATTTTCTTCTTCGGCTGCTATCTTTGACAAGATGAAAAAGGACAAGTACTCAGAAAATTCACAAGGAGAAAGCAAGGACAATAGTTTGCATAGCGTTGGTGAAGGGACCGGACAATCGAAGAGTCAAAACCTTCACGTGTCTCAAAGCCGCCGCCGTAGCATGAAAGTTCCTAATTTTTCCATGAAAAGAGGTCCTTCCATAGCCATGAGAGCTCCTTCAGTAGCGATCAGAGCTCCCTCAATATCTCTGAGAGGTCCTTCAATAGCTTCGAGAGCACCTTCTATGTCTGTAAAGGAAGACCAAAGTTCCTCAAACAAGTCAGATGAGGAAACGGTATAATCAATTCTATCCAGAATGTATGAAGTGATAATTAGCTACATTTGAACAAAAGATTTCTTATCATGAATAATTGTTTGTGCACTATGCTTAATGCATTCAGGAATCAGTGTTGGTGAAACTGAGTACCCGTCAGATCACACTTTTGCTGTCATCCATCTGGGCTCAAGCAACATCCCCTGAAAATACTCCTGCGAACTATGAAGCCATTGCTCATACTTACAGTTTGCTTCTGTTGTTCTCTGGATCCAAGGTAATCCTACTTTCTATGTGGTGTTCTTTTCCTTTATATCAATACCTGCTTGTAAGGAAGGAACCTGGTAATTATTCAATTGTCACCCAGTCCAACATTTACTTGTGGAGATGAGGTTATATTGTCCAAAGTTCTGTTTGGACCTGGAAATGTTTGGGGTGGGGGGGGGACACAAGATGCTTTTTATTCTCCAAATCTTTAACATCTATATAGTAGCTTTTCTTTACAGCACTCCTAAAATCAATGATACACCAGAAGTTTCTTGCTTAGATATGCTGATAAAGACCAATTTTTGAATATGCACTACACATTTTAAAGTTAGAAGATGTCCATGCAAATTTAGGTCCCTCATGTTTATATACTAATTATGTGCTTGTGAGGGATGTGGTTTTGATGGATCAACCCATTCCATTCAACAAACCAACAAAAAAGTGAGCAGTGAGAAGATCATGGACCACCCTATTCCTCACCCCCGCCACACACACACACACACACAAGGGTCCCTTCGATTCTTGTTGGGTAGTGCTAACTACTCAGCGAGTTTAGACAACACTGTGAGGAACAAATCATGAACTTCTATAAAGTATAAACTAAGAAGTATTACACAAAAAGGGTTGCAATTTTCTTTAGAGCTCATTAGAATTCGCTGCAACTAACCTCATATTCCAGGAATCATATATTTTCACAAGTTTCTGTTACTCTATAGTCTATACGTTTCATGAGGTCTGAATTTAGTGTTCTGTTACTTCTCTTATTTTCAATATGTACTATGTTCCCTAAGCCCATTCATAAGCAGCTCTTATGTGAATTCCTCCTGTTTCTTCTAGTGAACTACTAGCACCTTATGCCTTTTCTTTTCCTCAACAAAAACATAAGGAAGGACCTTAGGGAGGGAGGGAGAAAATTCCAACTGTTAGGTCCTACTTGCTGATGTTTTCTCCCTTTCCTCTTCCAGGCATCAACATTTGAGGCTCTTACTCAGAGTTTTCAGGTTGCATTTTCTTTGAGGAGCTATTCGCTCACTGAAGCAGGTGATACAGTCAAATTCCGTTTAAAATGTTAGAAGTCAATAAGAATTTAGTGTACCATATAATGTAACTTGTGAGAAATAGGCTTCATATCGTACATGATGGCACAGAAGTTACATATACTTAAATGTGGTTTTAATTTTGTTTCTTTCTAACTGTCTGTTTTTTGTGTCCTTTCTAACCTTGCAGATTCATTACAACCGTGTCGGCGCCGGTCATTGTTTACTCTGTCCACAGCCATGATTATTTTCTCATCAAGAGCTTACAATGTGTTGCCACTCATCCCGATCTGTAAACAAATGATCAATGATCGTGCGGTATGTAAGATCAAAATTTGAAGACTCATTTTATTTATCTGTGTTTTCTTTTGATTATGGTAGGGTAACTCCCTAAACAAGACTGTACAGAATGATGGCATAGAATATTAGTTGGGAAGTGATAAGAATGCATTATGGTACCAATTTGAGTGTCAGAAATAGAATTAAGCTTATAATCAAACTTGTTACTTGATCTTGTTGTTCTCAGTATCTCTTGTATGTACCCTACTACTTGTTTGTAAATCATGAGCTTTTTATGTTTAGCTGTCCCTGGAAAGTTTGTTTTTCCGTCTTATAGCCCCTTGCTATCCTTCTGTGCCCTATGGTTTAGAGTTTAAATTGACAAATGTGTTCTATACATATTGATCACAATAATGATGCATAGGCTTGGCAGCCTCCTGATTTATTTTTGTTGATATACCAAATTAGAGTTTGATTGCATCTTCATTTTACTGTGGAGATCAACAAACTGAGGTTTTGTGGTATTGATTTTTTTTTTTGAACGCAATGGCAGCTCTACCTTTCAATTAAGAAGGAAAGTGGTATTGATTTTCAAAGTACTTCTGTTTCATCTTGACTCCTAAGGACTCTTCATGTATGCCATGCGCCTTATTTCACATTTCTTTGCTATTTTGCTTAGGCCGATCCGTTCCTTCATTTGGTGGATGAGAGCAGACTTACAGCTGTCAAGGATTCTTCAGATGATCCTTCAAAAATATATGGATCACCAGAGGACAACAGTAATGCACTGAAGTCCCTTTCAGAAATAGAACTATCAGAAAGTCAATCTCGAGAATGCATAGTCTCCACAATCATGAACAACATTGCAAATATGCTGGATGTAATGTTGACCTTCCTGATCGCATCTTGTTTTCATTGTTTTGACCGAGTTCCATGCAGCTGCTGATGACTTTACTATTTCTGCAGGCGGAATTGCATAATGTGAGAAGCCAATTGCTAAGTGATTTCACTCCCGATGACATGTGTCCTACAAGCACTCAGTTCTTTGAAGTGCATGTTGATAATTCTTCATCAGGGTCTCATGAGACTGGTCACCATCAAGAGGTATATACATCTGACACAGTGACACATATATCCATCTCCTAGTTTCCATGCTAAAATCATGTGTTCTTTTTAGCAGGGTTTGCTGATTGACCTGGGGAATGACCATGATGCTTTTGGGGAAGCTTCAGAAAGCACAGAAGCTTCCGCATCTTCTGTACCTGCATCAGATCTTCTGAGTATCGATCAGCTTCTTGAAACGGTATGAGAAATCCATTCGTCCTTGCTTTTCCTTGGTTTATCTGTCCTTGGGGTACTGTCATGTTGAGATTGCCTTGCATTACAAGTTGTGTTCACTAGGCATGATAATTTTGTTATATTATATCCGTGTCATTTATTTCAGGTTGGTGCAGAACCAGCACCTCAGGCTGGAGTAGTGTCAGCAGACATTGGATTCAAGGATATGACTAGCCACTGCGAAGCCCTGACGATCGGGAAACAGCAGAAAATGTCCGCCTTCATGAGCTTCCAGCAAAGCGTACAAGCGGCAGGGCTGCCAAGCAGCCAGCCCAACCAGATGGAGTTGGACCTTTTCCAAGACCCGCAGTTGCCTCAGGTAGTGTACCTCCCATTTGCAAGGCATTTATTTACCCTCAATAATTTCATTTAAAATCGAACATGGCGAAAAAACAAGATATTGACGTGAACGTCCAATTCTGAGCAGGCCGGGGCGCATAGCACGAACCCATTCGCTGATGACAGCCTTCAGGGATATCCACAGTACATGAACGGGCCTAATGGCGACAACGCACAGCCAGGTCAGGACTTCCAACAACAGTCTCTGAAGCTACCGGCGGCGAGCCCATACGACAATTTCCTCAGGGCTGCTGGCTGTTAGAGGTCCAACTTGCAGCAGCCAGACTTTCAGTTACATGGACAATGTCGATTTCAAGATAGTCGCGAAGGAAGATTCTGCGAATTTTCCATTTTGCAGGAAAGGAAGAGGTATTGTCCGCGTATGTGGTCTTAGCTAGAGACTCAACCGGATTCGACACCCATTCTTTACGTATAGCTGTATGTATGTACGTATAGGTTGGCTCTTTGCTGCTGTTGTTTTTTTGCCAATGCAACGTGTAGAGGGGACTGGGGGGAGCAGTGCCTTCTATCATACTGTACATGTAAACATGTTGCAGAAATATATGAAGAAAAATGACGTTTGAAGAAATTCTCCGTCATGAATTTGCAATCATTCTGTAAGAATGCAGGAGTGCCGTCGTGCTCGCGCCTGGGTGGCATCTTTATCTCCCTGTCAGCAAGCTGACGACGTCGCAGCCGACAATTACAGTATTCTGAATGTGACCCTACAGCCTATTGCTCATTTCATTACGTTCTTCGTGTCTTGTAGCTGGAGTGTGACTTTCTTTTGTTGTCCCTAGTATTTTTTTAGTCCTTCTGGAATTCATATGCAGAGCCTACTTGCTGTCATGGGGCACCATGAAGACGTGATCACAAAGCTTGCTGCAAACTTTGGAGTGCAGGCCAACCTGTTTCATCTCACATCTTGTTCACACTATCAGTTGAAACCATGAAGCCTAGGAGACGTGACAGCAACAAGTCTGCTGGAAACTTGAAGGTCAGTTGATTTCCTCTCATCATCATCAATTCATCACCAATTGTCAGTTGAGGATTGGTTCGATGGATCTGGAGTATTCTAGATATTCTCTTCATTATAATGCAGCGGCTTTTGACTAACGTACATGCGTCTGATCTGCCTGGGTGACTTCATGAAACCAATCCAGCATAATCTTTTCGTAATTTAATATAATCAGCTTTGAAGAAGCCATGGCCTGTTTCAGTTTCTTGAGGCACCTAATTTTGTTTGACCAGTTTAGGCTGGTTGGTCTCCACTAAATCGTACGTACGGATACGAAACCATTTTTACTTTTCTATCTACTACTACTACTACTACTAGACTATCACCCTTTGATTTTTGTTATGTGAAGGTGGACTCGTCAAGAACTCACATGCAGAGAGATGACTCGTCAAGCTTCACATGCACTGAGATTTACTGCATAAAATATTCAAATGTGAGCTTCCACTCACCCCCTTTCGCTCTCCAAGAACTCTTGCTTTCTCTGTTTCTCGCCAATGCAAGTGCTTAACTTTTTCTGGGAGCAAAAAAAAAAAAAAGAAGATACTCTTTATTTGTGAAGAAGGTAGGTGTTTTCTTTGACGAAGATGGTCTACTAGCGCCGCATATTGAGCCAAAAACCCATGTGTTACATACATGAATGATTTTGATATCCAGAAAGGTGCAGCTTTTGGTGAGTTTAATTTGACTGTGGAAAAAAGGAGTGTGACATGCTACGTTTTGCCACAACGATTAATCCAACTTTGTCGTCTTTCATACTCTGTTTTGCATAGGAGGAGGTTTCTGCAGGAATATGCCACTTCTCAGTAGAAAACGTGCCGGCTGGCTGTCTGTGCTCTGCCTGACGTACACAGTTTCCATACAGTTCGTGGCCGGCTTCTAGAGGCTGAAGCCTGAAGAGTTCAGAAATAGTATATTCCATTGTTCATTCATGGGATCTCATATTCCATCGAAAACAATGTCATGACTGGAACAGAACTGCACCAGTTAAGTGTTGTATCTTGCGTTGTCATATGAGATGAGCAGCAAATCAAATGATGAGCATTGTATCATAGGACAGTAGGAGTATTACTGTATTTTAGAGTGAGTAGTTTTTTTGCAGTTGGAGATAGAGTCAAATACAGGATATGATAAGCAGGCAGGCAGGCAGGCAGTTAAAGTGGCGGTTTCTTATCATACACAAGGAAGTGCCAAGAGAGGAGCAAAACAGGCCAATCATTGTGTATTTGTGTGTGTGCCAGCTCACCTAATTGCTGACCAAGAAAAAACGGGTGTAGAGGCTTGGCTTGATAGAATATCCTGCCATTTCCCTGGGCCAAATACATTCACGGGTCTTGTCTGTTTCATCTTGATCCGTACGTGAGTGATGCAACAAAGATGTGTAGTTTCCCTCAATCAAAAAAAAAAAAAGAGATGTGTAGTTGCAGCTAGCTCCTCCATCTCCATCCATCCATTCCGAAACATGCGAGATGTATAACTGTACTGGATTATCACACATCTGAACATGATTATCACTGTATTGAACCAGACCCCTTGTAATTTTCTTACCTGGTTTTGGGAGCAGTTTTCACCGCCCTGTGAATTTTCCTGCTCTGTTCTTTCGTCTGTATATAAAGGAGTAGAGTATCTAGTATAAACGCCAAGCAGTTTACTTGCCGGCCTTTCCAAAAGAAAAGATAAGAAAAGAAAAGAAAAACGGGAGGACACCGTACCGTACTTGCAAAAGCGAAACTGATGCTGAATTCGCGGGCGGCAACGGGTCATCCGTCAGGTTGATCCTCCAAGTCAATGATTCTTACCTTGGAATTCATCCGACACCTCAAATTCCTGTTCACACCGCCATGAATTTTCAATCACGTACATGGACTTCGTTTTCCACACAGTACCTATGCTGTCATCGTGTGTGAGACATACGTATCGCTCTCATCGGTTGGATTCTTCTACACACCATTCTCGCGTCCACCCAAGCTATAGCTCACTTTATAATCTTATCATAAGTTAAATTTAATCTTATCATAATCTTTTTTTTTCTACAAATTTGATCAAACTTGAAAAAATAACTTAGGTTAATAGTAAAGTGAACTGTAATTTGAAACATATTTATAATGAAATTCTGTCCCCTCAGCGCAAGAATTAAAAATACGTGTATCAAAAGTTTTCTCCGCAAATGAAATCAGTAAAAACGAAAACGCGTGCAGGTGACGTTGTGTTGCGCTTAAACATTTGCCGGTTGACCGGCGAATTAACGTGCGTTCCACGCCAGAGCGAGACGTCTCTCCCGCTCCGGTCCGGCGGGGACGATGTGACGACGGCGACGAACCACCGAATCGTGAGCCGTAATCTGTCTGATCCTCCCCGGCTTTCGTACCTTGTTGTACTGCGCGTCCTTCGCCTTCACCTGTGGAATCCACATCCACTGTAGCTAGTCATACTCCTATTCTATTCTATCCTGTATCTTATATTTGCCGATTGGTCATTGACTCATTGGTGTGCACTTGTATATATGTATGTTCTTCTTGCGCTCAAGACCCTCTTGTTAGATGATTTACCATATCTAGGCACACTTGGTTGGAGATTTTTTTTTTCTCCTCCTCTTTCTTGAGTGGCTATTTGTGCTATAAAATCGAATGCGGTAGTTGTATATTATAAAAAATAGAAAAGTGAGCTCTATACGACTAATAAACATGGTGTTAATCAATATACTTCGTCCATTCCAAAATACAGTAGTGTGTTTTAATTTTGTCCTAAATTAAAATTTCTAGCTTTAACAAAATGTATAGAAAAATACCCCTATATTTTGACTAGTAACTTTGTTTTAATGTATTTATTACTACAAAATATTGCAGAATTATAATTTCGCAGAACGAAATACTATACGCATTCAAGCAAATCTAGTGGCATCATGACGAGGACATCCCAGCTCAACATGTGTTGAAACATGAAGAAAGCTCACTATCTAGCACAAGTGATTATATTCTTGGGCCACCTACACGAAGTCGTGCCAAAAAGATACAAGAGCAGGTTTACACATGAAGACATGGAAGGCACATGGCCGAAGGATCAAGACACGGTGCTACAAAATAGTTCCATCAGAAAAGTAACACGGGCGGGCGACCGAACCCAGGAAAAAGTAACACGGATGACAAGTAACACGGACGGACGACCGGACCCGGAAAAAAGTGACGCATAAGGTCAATAGTTTGCTAGGGGCAGAATTTGGTACAACTTTCCATGCAAAACTGTACCAATCTACAAAGTTTCGTGGTGCATGCTGCACATGGCTGGAAAGCTCTTCGAGTCTACTTTCACACCCAACAAACGGTTCGTCATTTGGACTTCCCAATAAGGAGTTATGGCCAGATTAGTGGACACTGCTCTAGAGGCCAACAGTCAGACGAGACCACTTTGAGAATCTATCTCGTGGTGACCTTTCACATAGCCTATCTTCAGAAACTCCATTTCATTTTCACACCCAACTAGGAGGGTTGTTCCTAGTATAAATACCCCCTGCCTCTAAGCTATTAGGGACCTTTTGATGAATTGATAAACCCCTCATATTGCAGTCGAGCTGTTGAGTGCCTTACTCAAACCTTTGTTCTTCCTTGTTCTTCTTGGACTTGTGAAGTGATCTCTCTGGGTTCTCCTAGTTTGTGATCTACGGCTTCCAGTATGGCTTCACCGTTTTGTGTGGATTAGTTCCGGATTGTGGTTCTGTGGTCGTTCGGAGATCGAGTCGAAGTCTTCACGGTTTCGGTGCCTCTCTCCCTGTCGCTTGGTCGCATCCAACCTTTGTCAGGAATAAAGCTAGTTATCCCGTTGTTCGCAGCAAATTATCTTTGATTCGTGACCTACTGTCGTGAAGATCGGGCCACCCTCAAGGGCGTTCCTTATCACATCATTTTTCTAATTACTGAACTAGCACGATTTAACTCAAAAATCGTGCTAGGGATGCAAACTCTAATTTTGTTGGGTCAACTCAAGATGTTATTGTTAAAGTAAACTAAAACAATGGTACAATTTAACCCTTTTGATTCATTGCATAACATATGCATCTTCAGAGACGACTGGTATTTTTGGACAGAGGCGGCTCTGAAGAAGCATTGTAGAGGCGGCTAGCTTCGTGGGGCTCGAGGACTGCCGCTATATATGTGACTCTTGATTGAGCCGCCTGTGTCCAAAAATCCCCCTTGCTACAAATCAGTTCTATGGTAGTGAGAGCAGCCCATCAACTCTTTGCTCCTCACTCTTTCTGTTTAGTTTGCAGATCAATGGCAGTAGATACATCGACATCTCATTCTTCAGAAAGACAAGAAACTAATAATTAATATTAATATGAGAAATATACAGTTATTCCACCACCAAAATTTAAGGAATTAAGTCACGACGTACTACCTCAGCTTGAACGAGCACCCCTGGATTTAATTAGGAGAGAATTACTAACTTCAATCACGTGTCATCAGAGAGGAGAGAGAACGTCATACCGGGCCGCAGCCTATTTTCGCACCTACGTGCTCCCTTCATCTACAAAAGAATGCAATTATAAAAATCGTGGCAGTCAAACTAGTCCAAGTTTAATCAAATTTATAGTGAATAATATTAATATTTATGTCTCTAAACAAATTTATTATGAAAATATATTCTATAACTAATCTAATAATATTTATTTTATATCATGAGTGTTAGTACTTTTTTATACAAATTCAATCAAAATTCAAATTTATTGACTTATTAGAAAATGAGAATTATATTCTTTCGTGGAGAGAGAGAGGGAGTATCCACTTGCACGCTGTACTCAGTACCCGGCCGCAGCCTGCAGGAAATTGATGTTTGGCCACTCGTGTCGCGCGTACCGTACAACGACGCTTCAGCGAGCGAGCGAGCGAAGGACCGCACGCATCAAATTTATTGGCCAGCCGGCACGGTCGTCTAGGCGGCTCGTCTCGTCGTTGGCATCCATGGCACCAACACCAATAGGAGGACGCCAAAATGTGTAGTACTGCCAAGTATTCCTCGTGTACTTGATGGATATATATATACACACACACGGCCCGGCCTCTCCATTTGCCAAACCGTTTTGGCTTGGTGCTGCACGTCGTCACAAGCGCGGTGACTTCACTAGGCCTTCCCGTGGAGCGTGCCCGTTCCATCCCCGGCAGGACCATACGTGCCTAATCCTTGTATATTCAATGTAGTATCAGAGAATTATATTTTTTCTTATCTATTCCTCATAAATTTAAGCAACGATTTTCTACGTGAGATGCATACGTATGGACACGTGCCACGAATCCACGATAAGTATCCACGGCTGCTCTACGGTGATCGCCTCCGTTGGATTTTGGTCAGTAGCGGGCAACCTCTATCTCTATCTCAAAGTTGAGTTGAAGATAAAAGTTTAAAGATCTAAATGCACTTTGATAGTTTATGGATCAAATTGAGTCCAAAATGCAAAGTTTAAGGATCAAACAATCATCTTCGTAGTTTGAGGATGAAATTGAGTCTAAAAGTGAAGTTTGAGAACTAAAACAGCTATTTTGAAAGTTCAAGATAAAACTGAGCTTCGAGTAATAGTTCAGGGACCAAAACGACTATTTTGCCTGTGTTTTTTTATAGGATTTTGCCTGTGTTTGAGCTTGGTCAGCACGAATATTCGCTGAAATTCTTACATGATGCTTCTATGTGCCAACAATGTTAGCTTCTGACGATCATGACAAGTTAAAAAAAAAGAACCCTATCTAAACACTAATCTCCGCACACGGTGCCGTACGCATGCAATTTCCGTGTGCTTGTCACGATCCAATCGTCATCGTCAGTTGCGTGCAGGAACGGAGTAAATCAAGTGGCAATCACCACTAATCCACCCATACTTTTTTATGTACTCCTATATGATGACAATAAATAATAACAACATAGCAAAAAAAGATGACGAGTGCCACCGGACGACCGTACTTATAGAAAACACCATTGGCTAGCTGCAGTTGAACGGGAAGCTTATCAAACGGTCAACTCATATGATGAGGTCATCAAATATGTAATAATCTTCTTGCTGATGGGTTAAATATAATAATCTCTCTACCCCTTCACTAAACATGTAACCCCAGTACACTTTCAGGTTAAATTGCTCGATCTCCACAACCAACTTCATCGGCACCAGTGATCAATATATCAAGTGACCAAATACAAAATATGTTTGATAGAGCTTCGTGGAGCAGTTTTTTTTAGCTTTCGGCACCTCGATCTAGAAGAAGAGCCAATTACTTGTACCACTAAAAAAGTTATAAATTAATTCCATATGTATTATGGAAAAAGTTGTATAGCCTACTCGACTAATGGATGCAAATTTGAGTAAGGGAGAAAAAGTTTTGCATGTGTGTATATATATTATATACACACTTCTCCATCGGTTCTGCTTTCTTAGATGAGTAAGGAAGGATAATTTAGAAAAAGTTTTGTATGTGTGTATATATATACACACTTCTCCATCACTTCTCCTTTGCTTGCCCCCCGCAATTACAGTTACAGTGCTCTTATTTTCCATTTCTGATGGAAAATTTTTTTGGGCCACAGATGCGTTTGATGCTAAGTTAATTAACCATCGCACGCGCTTACTCTTGCTAGTTTGAAAGTGTATTTGACGTTTTTTTTACAACGGCGTGGCCTCGGAAACATAACTTTAACCGCTGTACGTTTTCTGTTGTATAAGGTGAAAAGATCGTAATGGATGTGGTTTTATGAAACCACTCGGTTTCCAATATAAAATTATGCATATGATCTTTAATCTTCTTAAATACTTTAAAAGTTACTAATTATAATCAATGTTTAAAACTTGAGTTAATTCTTGTGTCCAAAATATTGAGTACATGCAAACCGGAGGAAGCTAAGCTACTTTTGCTAAGCTCTCCTTGCTTAGTTGGCACTAACAACAAGAAACTTGCCCATCCAGGAGAGCTAAATTGGCTCTCTCACACCAGCAAGAAAATTCTTGTCAGCATAGAAATCAAGGTGTCCTTGCCAACTAACCAAGCAAACTATCTGTTGCAAATCATTGCTAGGCAAGGCTATATAGTACTGAGCAAAGGTACCAAGCAGGCATGAGAATTCGAAATATAGTGTATAGTACTAGATGAGCTACGCGCTTGTATTATGCAGCTCCATAGTTAGGAAACAAGTATGCTCCTTCATTAGTGTGAACAACGCTACAAATTTAAATAAAATAAATGAATATAATTGCCATGAACACACGTTGCCGAAAAGATTTCCACTAAACAAACGAAATTCTACGGCGTACAAGGACATCCATCCATATTGATCACAACCACAGCAACACACCTGGTAATTTTCCAAAGCAGATTTTGTTCACAATGGAAACAACAACAACAAAGCCTTTAAGTCCCAAACAAGTTGAGGTAGGCTAGAGTTGAAACCCAGCAGAAGCAATCAAGGTTCAGGCACGTGAATAGCTGTTTTTCAAGTACTCCTATCTAAGGCTAAGTCTTTAGGTATATTTTATCCTTTCAAGTCTCCTTTTATTACCTCTACCCAAGTCAACTTCAGTCTTCATCTGTCTCTCTTCGTGGCTTAGGATTCTTTGTTCACAATGGAAACAGAGCCAGGAAAGTTCTCTACAGGATGACATGGACTACTCTTTAAGAAATTTTTTAATTAATTCCTCGATTATATATAATAAAATAACTTAGTTTAATTATTATATCACCATGGCCATTCACCCCTAGTATAAAAGACCGTCGCTCTCCCTTGTCTGCCGAGCCTCCCCTAATCACATCATACGAACAAGAGGAGAGGAGACCACGTCGTCCTCCGCTTCTCCGCGCAGGGGTTGCGCGCCACCAACTCCAAAGAAAACAGCTGCGATCGAGCTTGCCTGAAGCAACAGCAGCCATGGCGGCCACCATCCCATGCCCGGGCGCCACGGTTTACCTACTCTGCTAGCTAAGCCCTCCGCGCGCCCTCTGCCCGCCGTTGAACCGGCCGGCGATAGAGAACAACAGCACTTATATATAGGTGCACCACAGCACTTATATATACGTGCACCTGCACTCGCGCGCGCCCGGCGACGTACGATCGGCGATGATGGTGATGGGCTACTTCCGGTCGACGACCAAGTCCGCGACGTCAGCAGCGGGCGGGAAGAACAAGAAGAAGGCGAAGAACAGCTGTGCGCCGGCGCGCGAGGAGGCGGCCGGGCTCCGGGAGGCGCTGCTGGACCAGCCGGCGGCGGCCGCGGCGGAGGGCGGCGTGCCCAAGGGCTACTTCGCGGTGTACGCCGGGGAGGAGTCCCGCCGGTTCGTCGTGCCCACGGGGTACCTCCGGGAGCCGGCGTTCCGGGACCTCATGGAGCGCGCCGCCGACGAGTTCGGCTTCGCGCAGGCCGGCGGCCTGCGCGTGCCGTGCGCCGAGGAGGACTTCGAGGACCTCCTGCGCCGCCTCCACCGCAAGAACGGCGGCGCCGCCTCCGGGAAGGGGAAGAAATAAAGCCGTAGGCCGGCCGGCCGGTAGCTTTATGACAACACCTAGGTTCCTTCTTGTTTGTAACAATTTGCTTGTTGACGTACGTGTACATCAGATCAGTTCTTCAGTTGAGGATGCGGTTCTTGTACAGAATGCAAGCAAACAAGCAGCCACGTGCATGCATGGTAGCGTAGCTCTGAATGCATGGCGTGTTGATTCACTCACTGTTGCTTCCGTGAACTGGAGAAAGAGTATACAGACTTAGACTTAAGGCGGTGTTTGGTTCACCTTCTAAATTTTAGTCGTCGTCCCATCGGATGTTTGGACACATATATGGAGTATTAAATATAAACTATTTACGAAACTAAATGCACAGATTGAGACTGATTTTGCGAGACGAATTTTTTAAGCCTAATTAGTCCATGATTTGACAATGTGGTGCTACAGTAAACATATGCTAATGATGGATTAATTAGGATTAATAAATTCGTCTCGCGGATTCCTAACGGATTCTGTAATTTATTTTTTATTAGTATTCGAACACCCCATGCGACACCCCCACGTGACACCTCATAAACTTTAGTCACCGGATCCAAACACCCCCTTCGGGGAATTGAGCTATTTATTTATTTATTTTACGGAGTACGTCTGAAACTTTGTGAGATTCGATTCAAATTTGGACGTTCCAAACAGTCCGTACGAGATATGCGTTTTGTCTTCTTTTAGAATGATGAGATCGAGGAGATTAGGAGAAGAGAAATATGTAGAAAGACGATAGGGCTTTATTTCTTCAGTTCATGTTGTGTTTTTCTGATTAGAGGAGCAGTCATCTTCAGAGGATGAATCCTTGTCTTGTCATGCTGTTCTTATTCTTACAGAAACCGAAAAAAAAGATTTTTTTTCCTGCATTTGTACTATTTTTTCATCTTATTACAAGCTTGATTTATTTGGTTGGTTGGAGACCTGTGATGATGGGGGTAGTGTGTCTCTCCATATTCACATTCATCAATTCTTAGTGATGGACTCTTACCTCTGTTCCATACTTGCGCTACATGGACCCTGCAAATGGGACATCACTAGTTAATGCAAATTGTTGCTTACAGAAATGAATACTGATCGATCGATATAAATCAAACAGATCTGGATCTGAATGTCCGTTACTTCATTCTGAAATATACTAGTAGCATTGAGCAATGTCCGGAAGATGAGCATGCAAGACTGGGCTGCACATTTGAAAATATAGCCACTCACTTACAAGAACAGCAATGCTGTCTCTTTATCTGGCTCTCTGCAGATTGATTGCACTTGTCAACACTCAACACCGGGAAATGCTGGATGCAGGATTTCAGGTAGTCTGCTGCAAGGTAGGCACGTCCATTTCAGAACAGACCAATGATCTACCTCAGAGCAGAAGTAGACCAATCATTGTACTTCCTCAGACTTGGAGAGAGCTTCAGCCTGATTTCCTGTTCCTCGGTGTCTTCTGCAGAAACATGTTTCAGTTGCCTTGCCGGCCCTACTTTCTTGCCCTGGCAGAACACACTACTGAATCCAATGATAAAAAGTTCAGTGGTACTTGCACATTGAAAGTGCACACTATTCATTGTTTACCAATCGTTTTTTTGCTTCAGAGATTTAACAAAAAGTTGGGTTGATTCACACGTAGATAACCTGGTTTTTTCAGGAACCCAAGATTCAGGTGCAGATGCAGAGGATCCCATCATGTGTCGTCGATGTGAGAAGCCAGGTGCGCTTGCCAATTTGCCATGTGAATATGTACGAAAAATCCTTTGTTTTGTTGCAAAGCCTAACATTATGTGAGGCATGGTGGTTAGAATATGCCGACAGAATCACATATTAAGAATGCAGTGCAGTATGCAGAGTACAATGCGTATCTCATGAACCAAAGTAAACAAAAGATATTTTCCAACTCTCCCTACGTCTGGATCGAAACAGTAGATGCCCTGCATTCATAAGAAGTTACAAACAACGGCAGTTTACTCCTATATATATTTGTACCAAACTTTTGCGAATTATTACTGTTAACCTAATCTTTAAGCAGCTAATCTTCCACTTGCACTCTGTAGTGTGGATTCAGACTGGAAGTGCTAAGGGAAGCTAAACGATGGCACATGCTGAAGTTGACTAGATTCAGCTTCTGCAATGCTCATCTTCTTGGTTTCAGCTTGTAAGGAAAAAAAAAGCAGATACAAAAATTGCATGAGCTCGGTGTGGAAAAGAATTGCATGAGCTGTGACAGTGGCAATGTGGCATAAACCATCAGAAGTTGCAAGATCAAAGCTTTGTTTGGTTTGTCTTACATTAGATCCTTGTTCTCATCAGCAAACTAAAAAAAAATCCTACATCTCCTCCCATCGTTGTACAGATTATAGATCTTATCGGTGCAGTACAATGCAACCTCTCCTCCTTTCTTCAGAAAAAAAAACAAGAAGAAAGAAAGAAGCAACCCAAGAAAGGAGAGAGGAAAAAAACAAAGAAAAAAGAGACTCAGAGCAGAGCATTGAGACGAGAGCGAGGCCTTGGATTCATGGCCTTGTCGCCGTCTCGTGGTCTCGTGAGCCGTCATCTGCAGAGGATCTCGGTGTCGGAGGAGCAGGAGCAGGAGCAGTCGCACATGGCGGCGGGCTCCTTCTTCCTGCCGCCCTGCTGCACGAGACGGAGGATGCCCTCGAAGGACTCGACGTCGCAGGGGATCCGGAGCGCGCCCTCGTTCCGGAACCCGAACTCCTCCTCGGCCTCCCGGAGCAGCTCCGCGAACGCCCAGTGGCCCAGGTACTCGGTGGGGATCACGAACCGCCGCATCTCCTCGCCCACGTACACCGCGAAGGAGCCCCTCGGCACGCTGCTTCTCCCGCCGCCGCCGCCGCCGCCCTTGCCGCCGGACGCCGCCGAGGGCTTCACAGTGGCCAGCTTCTTCCACTTCTTGAGCAGCTGCTGCAGCAGCACGATGTCCCGGATCTTGTTGCTCCCGCGCCCACCCTGATGCTGCTGCTGGTGCTGCACCTGCTGGTACTCTTCCATTGCCGCCGACGAGCTAGTAATGCTAATGCCTCGACGGATGCGTTCTTGCTCTGGTAGGCGGGGTAGTGGTAGTGGAGGAGGACCCGGAAGGGCGGAGGGGCGAGAATATATAGGAGGGCGGGGAAGTTGGAGGAGGGAAGGGATCGCCGGTGCGCCGCAGCAGAGCAGAGCAGCCTGCTCGTGACTTCTGAGCCTCTTCACCATTGTTTGTGTTCAAATCGATGGAAGTTCTGGCTTTTTAATTTCTTTTAATGATTAGTTTTCGGGAACGGAGTTCTGCTTTTTTATTCACGAATAATTCGATCCGCGCGTAATGTTTCTTTTATCTTTTCACACTCGCTCATTCTTCGCCATTCGTTTATGAAAATCGTGCAGTAGCATTTTCAAAACTTTTATTACCACTAACTAGCAGAACTGAAGCAATGTAAAGTTACCGAATGTTATTTATGCCCCGTTTGGTAGAACTGTGATCGCCTCTGATGGCTCCTCTGTTCACTATAGTAAAAGGCTGGTTTTACCGCTCATCTCAAAATAAGCAAGGAGCAGAAACCGTGCTAAATGGGGTCTTAGAGTAGGGATGTGTATTTTGACATCAAAATTAGCCTGATGCAATGTAAAAACCATGTTCCTGATTTTTCTTTACCCTTTACTGCATCTATTGGCAATGGCAACTGAAACATTTTTACATCTGAATTTCTGAACAACGCAAGCCAGAGACAGGACTGAGTGACCTCACTGTAATGGAGCTGAACTTACATGGTCAATAACTCAATATATATCATGTCCAAGTTATGGGTATGGAGATTAATTGATGATCCCATGCATGCATGAACTAGCTACTAACTGTGCTCTCCTCACCTCTGTAGCTCTGCTGGTTGTGATGTCACTGATGTGGAAAAAATGTGAGTAGATGTTCAGTTTTCCTCCCTTGATTTCAGTAATGCTATGGGTCACCACTGAAGTTTGTTGTACTAGAATGTACTACTGCTCCTACTCCACTCGAGTCCTTGTCACACTGAATTATGCACCGGCTTCTTCGGTTCTTCCAGCTCATGCTGCATGCATTCCTGCCCCTGTTTTGGTGAAAGGGTCTTCTTGAACCTGTTTTCTGCGTGCTTGATTCAGTGGGCGAGCAGGCAGTTTCTGCAATAGTGTTTTTCCAATGCAGGATGTCATATCACAACTCACAATCCATTGTAGTACTAGCTAGCTAGGTATTCCAAAATGGCTGCGTATCTTGCCCTTCGACGAGTCAAATATTTTCAGAGCTGATTCTCTGCCTTTTCAAATTGTGCACAGTTCTCACTTCTGAAACACCTCGATCGCTCGCTGAGGTCGATATATATGTACGGAAGGGAGAAAATTATGACTTGGGTTCAGAGAATCATTTTGCCTTACGTGTATCCAACTAAGTTCAGTGAAGCAACGCCAAAACAAACTGCCGAGGCACAGGACAGGATGAAAACAACGGGAGCCAATGCAAAACAAACAGGCTGCGTGCACATCAGGTGGTATCTGCACACTGCATTGCACTGAAACTGCACAAACGCAAACAAAATTTTGAGCGCCCCCAGCTTGGCATCAGGATGCATCCGCATGCAGATGGATATATATACGTGTAAAAATTCATGTACTTTTGCTCTCTGACAGCATTTTTTTATCTTCCTCGTCTAGTTCAAGAATCTCTCTCTCTCTCTCTCTCTCTCTCTCTCTCCTGTGTTTCAAACTGTGTGCATGTGGGAACATGGCAGGACTGAAGAACTAGGGGAGCCGGGAGTGCATGCCTGCATCTGCATGTGGGGAGGCTTCACATGCATGATGATGATATCGATCGGCAATTGGGCATCAAGCTTTACTCCTAAGCAATGATGCAAAAAAAAAAACTAGTATTACTAAGATGCCTCTCTCTAGTGCACATGATTACATTAATTCTGATCCTGGTATGGTATGCTAGAGTTCATTCTTTTTTAATATCAAAAAATCAAAATCAAAATTCGTTGAATAATGGAGGAAAATGCAAGATTATTCCTTAATCATATCGCAGATGTACTACTATTCCCTCGATATGATTCCAGTTCATTTCATGTGAACGCTCACCTGAAGATTGCAAGCAGAGTCCAAGTAGATTAGTAGCTAGGCGATGAAAGATTCCTTCCCTCCATCATGTGCATGCATGCTAATCATGAGCAAATGGACCCAAATAGGCAATCGGCAGCACCCAAAGCCTATAGATGTCCAACGGGCCGGCCCGGCCTGGCCCGGCACGGCAACGGACCGGCATGACCCGATGGGGGTTGGGCCGACAAGGCACGACGTGCCTTGAGGGTCCGTGCCTGCCATGGGCTTCATGCCTGGCCGACGGCCCATGCACGGTCTGCTGGGCCGTTTTTCGTGCCAAGCCAGCCCGAGAAGCACAGCTAATCCAGCGTGCCGAGCCGGCCCAAGGCCCACTACACCGAGAGAGAGAGAGAGAGGGGGAGGCCAGGCTGTCGTCGTTGTGAAGGCCGTGGACGACGCGACCTCTCCATCCCCGACCTCTCCGCACCTCGACTTGGCTGGATCCGCGGGGGATGAGCGATGAGGAGGCCGGATCCGCGGAGAATGAGGCCGGATCCGCGCAGAGGAGGCATGGGGAGGAGCAGCAGCGTGGCGGTGAGGAGGAGGTGGCCACCGTCGGCGGCAGGTCTTGGGGCGGTGAGCAGTAGCCCACCGGCGCGGCTTCGCCTTTGGGGGCCACGGAGGCGAAGCCGGGAGAGTCGGTGGCAGCAGCAGGAGGCGAAGTCGTCTGGGAGAGAGAGGGGAACAGGGAGGCGACGTGGCGAAGGAGTCGCGACGCTTGACTTCATGACCATGAAGGGTGGGGAGTCTGGCGGCGGGTTGGAGTGGAGGTGGGAGGTGGAGGCAGGGAGGGAGCCAGGCGGCAAGCTCTCTCCCGGGTGGCGAAGAAGAGATGGAGCGAGCGAGAGCGGGGAGGAGGCGAGGTGAGCGACTGGGTGAGAGAGAGCAGAGTGCGGCGGCGGGGGAGGGAGAGGGTAGGCGGTAGGGTTAAGAGAGGAGGGCTAGCCTGCTGGGCTGTTGTTGGGCCTTTGACCATTTTCCTCACCGGCATCACCGGGCCTTTGGCCATTTTACGGGCTGGGCCGTGCCAACCCGCGTGCCTGGGGTAAGGCCCAGGCACGGCCTGCTCCCTCGGGCCGTGCCAGCCTGGGCCCGCTAGCCATCATGCCGGGCCAAAAAAACGGGCCTCGTGCCGGGCTCGGGCTGCCCAATTAGGCAATTAGTTTATCCTGAACCACCACATGAGAATGATTTTCATCTATCGAATCATTGGTGGAATGCAGATGGGGGAGGATCATGCATGGATTGGATCAACTGCTAGCTCATGAACATAAGATAGATATGATGCAGGTTGCATCCAGGACTGGCTTTATTATTAGTAGCTCAATTAGCCGTGTTGACATTCTAACTAATATTCATGTTTTGTGCAATTCCCATTCTTATTCTCTGTTCATATTTTAGAGCAGCTAGCTGCTACTAGCTAGGAGAGGTTGCTGGATGAGAGTACAGTTTGTCATTGTTGAGTGTTGACATTATATTTCTAATGAAGTTCAGTTTGGCACTAGCTAGGAGAGGTTGGATGAGAATACTAACTGACTTGCTTTATGATACATATGACGATCATGGTACCCAATTCAAATAATTTGCAAGTATTTATATATTAATAATGCACAGATTTTCTCTTAATGCAGCAATGGCACACAGATCTAGCTCCTGCATGTTGGCAGAAGAATATCTTAATGCATATGCGCAGAAACAGTTGTATCTAACTGAACTGCTCCTCAGTCAAATCTGAACTGGTCAATATAGAGGCCTAGTCTAGAGTCAAATTTCAGAGAACAAAGAATAAGAAAGCTGGCCCTGAGAGATTCTCCAAGCAAGCTCGATCTGCTCGCCAAGTCAAATGCATCACGATTTTACACCAGATCGGCGTACGGGGCCGGGGATTGTTGTCATACGATCAATATGAAAGAATATATAAATATATAAATCCTTTTTCTTCGCTGCACGGATACCGAGGCAGATCACGAGCCGTACGTACGTGGTTTTTGTTTGGGATCTCGTCGACCTTGGATGGAGCCTTAAATTTATTTGTTTAGCCTAGATTTTCATGTTGGGCACGTAAAAAATTAGGTGAGGACCATTCCTATTATTAGGACGTGGTGCAGACTGTGCAGCTGATATATACGTGGGCCACAATATCATTTTAAACGTACCCACGATAATTAGATGCCTAATAGGCCACACCTCGGTCATACATCCGCATGGTATTTTAGTAGGGATGGTCCTCACCGAATTTTTTTTTTCCGTTGTACGTGCATGCATGTGAACTGTGAAGTGATCATTATGCATAGATCGAGTTATTCAGCGAGAGAGAGAGAGAGATCATGGAGTTTAGCGATCGATGGAGCTCATCGATCTCCATACGCATGCTCTCTCATCATACGTCGTCGTGCGTATAGCTTTTGCTCAGTGATGGCTTTGTCTTTGTGTTTGTTTCGGTATGAGGTAGTACGGCACAGGACATCATCGCCTTTAATTTGTCCGATCTTGCTTGGAGTCTTAGGCCTGATAATAATCTTAAACAACACTGAAGCTCACTTTGCAGTAAGCAGGGACCACTACACTGATCGATGCATGCATCGTGATGTGTACATGTATACATATCTACTGCTGCTAATCCTACATGCTAAAGCTACATATATAGCCGTGTGATCGTTGCCTCATGGCTTCTCCAACGGTACATGAGCTAGCTCTAAGCTGAAAATATGAAGAAAAAAAAAGAAAAGAGACTGCAACAAGCAGTTTTGGAACATCGTACTAGAGAGAAGGATGCATCGCGAAATGTGCAAGACTATCTTTTGAGCTCATGCTAAGTTTATTGCTTCTTGCACCATTCAGTGATTAAAAATTGATTCGGTTAGCTAAAGCTACTAGATCAT